TTACATTACAATGATAGTTTGGACAAGTTCAATAACTCCGGAATGGTATATTATTTATTTAATAATATTTCTCTTATGCGCTCTATTTTTCATTTCATGCTTCAATTTTGTCCCATTTTTTCCCCCAAAATTTCAGTCCATGTCAGTATGTGAAGCGTGACTGTTGTGTCAGCCTATGACCATAGGCCTAGTTTAAGGAGGGGCCTAGGTCAGCCTATGACCCTAGGCCTAGTTTAAGGAGGGGCCTAGGTCAGCCTATGACCCTAGGCCTAGTTTAAGGAGGGGCCTAGTTTAAGGAGGGGCCTAGGTCAGCCTATGACCCTAGGCCTAGTTTAAGGAGGGGCCTAGGTAAGACCTCAGCCTGTAGTTAGGCCTATAGTTTATTCTCTTTCCCTCTAGCCTTTGGTATAACTGTACCTATCTACACTTTATAACAGGAGGTACTAGCTGTTGTTGTTGTAGATAATATACTAACATTTAATAACATCCAAGAAGGTTACAGTTAGTTACACAGTAGGTAAACATAGAAAGAGCAATAATAGTAAAACTCGAGCGTCACGACATTGCGAAGTGTCTGCTCTTGTTCCTCGTATCGTACTCACTCGAGTCAATCCGAGATGGCCCGAGTGAAGTTTCATGCAAATGTTTCGTACGGAAAAAAAAAATCGCGCCCCGGTCACGGTGCAGCAGGAATAAGGAAAAATCAGCAGTTTTGATTTGATGAGTCTAATTTAGGTCGCTATTTTTTAGTCTTATAATAGGCCATCGTACCATGATTGAAAAAGTCAATGCGATGCGTACATTCATATAATTCATAATTATTATTATATATTTATTTCAGAAAGTAATGGAATTGAGAAAAAGTGGTCCGGCCATACCGGTGCGGCCGGTCCTGGTTCTCCGTCCTTGAAAGTGTGGCAAGTAATGGGCTAATCGGATTAGGTCATTATGTACAGACCAATCAGAAGCAAATGCTCATTTTTTGAAGTACTGTATTAGTTGCTGTATGTTGGCTTCATACACAGTTTACATACTACAGAATTTATCAGCACTATCAAATAAATGGTAAGAATTTTATATTTGTATACTATATTACAGGGTGTATCTAGGCTAGCCCAATATCGTAACTGTTTAGGCTTGCTTTATATATTTGGTTATCTTTTGTTTTAGCTAGGATAACCTAGGCCAGCCAGGCCCTCTGGCCCTAGCCTAGTAGTAGTAGTAGCTCTAGAGTACTGTAGGGTAGTGTAAGAGCATAGTTAGCATAATTATTTACTTGTTTAGGCTAGACTGCAAGTTGGATGTGTGGGCTAAGTTTGAATTATTAGCGGTAATTTTTAATCGCCTAGGCCTAGACTTAACTTTGCAAAATGGCCACGTCCTGTGTTGAAATGCTGTAATAGGTCTATATTATATTAAATATAATGTTAAAATGTGGTTGCATGAACCAAGCACAAAAATAAAACAGCTATTTATAAATATTGTGTTTAATAATTCATCTTATATCATAGGCCTACATACTGCCAGTGGTATAATATCCACATCACTGTCGTGTCATCAGTAATCATTTTCTATTTTTGTTTTTAAAGTTAATAATGTAAATTTTTATATTTTATTTTAATAAAGAGATATTATGATAATATTAACATTATTTAACGCTACGGTTAGTGTAATTAATAGAAATATAAAAATTGATATGGGTCTAATTTAGCTGTGTGCATAAGTCTAACTATAAATAATATGGTATTTTTTTCAGGTTTTCAATCCATTGAAAGGAAGTCATGTTTGTTGCAATATATTGTTTGTGGTAGACACTGGGAAAAAACCAACTATTGAATGTGTATTTATTTGTCTCCTGGTACAAAACCGATGGAAGAGCAGCCATGATGAAGCAGTAAAAAGTTATAAAAAAAATTCTATTTTGCAAGAATATATACTGCACATTTGCTAATACCACTATCCCACATCAGTAAGTGACTACCCTACTATGTCAAAGTAATAACCATTTGTTTCTTAATTTAGTCTTGGGTACCTAAGAAGTCACAGCATTTGTCTTAATCGTCGTTGTACGAAGGTGATTAATAAGTTAAAATTAATTGGGGACAGTCTAATCGTAAATATTATCTTAACATGCTAAATATTCTCCAACGATAAATGGCACCTACCTTCATAGTATGATGCTGTCAGAGAAAAATGTATTTAAATCTTTAAAAAAACAACAACAAAAACATTCTATTATTGAAAGATGTGCTTTAAAGTTTGTTTTCAAACTTATTTTGTTCTCCATCCATTCATGTTTGGTGTTGTTCCTAATTATTTAGCAAAAAGTTAAATTGTTTTAGCTTAAGTCCATTATTAACCCAGGCAATTACCATACTCTACTACACAACATTTAATTTAATATTTTGCATATCAAAAATAAAAAATAAAACTGAATGAATATGTGTTTTAAGGTAAGTGCCACTCCCTATAGAGAAATCTCTAACTGTCCATGTTTGCAATATTATATTCCATAGTGAATATTTTTCAGTATTTGCATCATTATTGGTAATGCTTGCAGTACAGTATATCAATGTAGATTGGTCTGGGAAGAACAGTTGTTTCAACTATCTACATAGTATTTAAGTATTTACTATTTTAAAATCTACCATACAAACTTTAAAACAATATTTCAGTTTTTGTTTCAAATATTTTTGTATTGTTTTTATCTTTCACAAAGGTTCTTGGATACCTTGCTTCAATACCTCTGGTTGAACAAGAAAAGACCTGGCTAAGGATAGTAGAGGGTCAAATAATTTATCACCAAGAAAGTTACTGATTTAAACCGAATCCTGTAACGCGAAAGATTCTTAATTATGCTAAGTGTGCAATATTAGGTCAGTTAAGTTATACCTCCATGGTTAAGATGACAGTAATGCATGATAGGTATATTTTGAAATCTACACATAGTAGCTGTTTTTATAATTATTACAAAAACTCTGATTTAAACATGACTGTATAGCTACGATACATAATAAAATGTTTTTTGCAAGTTTCAATTAAAGAAAAATGGTCAAGTATATTTTAAACTCAGTGTATTTTGTAAAGTTTAAAGGAATAAACATTGACATTTAGAATGTTAACTTTGAATACTGCATTTAAAAAAAGTAGCCCTACATTCCGTATTTGACGTTAAAATATATAATATAGTTAATAGGTAATATAGTTTTATTGACGGCAAATAAATTTTACAAATGTTAAATACATTTTATTCTACAAAATATACAAATTTTTAGTCTTAGCATTTGTCAAAAGTATCGATTGATATTATAGAATTTTAATTACTCAATGTATACCATTTATTGGACTAAACGATTGTCGATTTATAAATTGCAACATGTACAAACAACTTACCAGCCTTTGAGTAGGTCACAATAAATACATCGTCAACTCGAACTTCGAATGATCGAGCAAGATCGACCATGTCATGTCGTACTTGCGGCGGGTACCTGTTACCCTCTAGGACTACAAACCCAGAAAACTCTCCCTCCTTTGGGATGCAGTCGGCGGTGCAACTCATTATCTATTTTGTCGGTGGGCACTGTTGTTTTCAACTAGGGACAATTGTGAGGGTTTACGAATAACGTACGTCCCGTGTGAACCTTATTTATATACAGTAAAATGCTCATCTAGCTCATTGGATATTCTAGAATATGAGGGCTCCTGTCTTTATTGTCCTTGTTGCTTTGTATGACATCGGCCATTTCATATTACTATAGCATACATTTTCAAATTTTAAAGTAAGATTATATCTTAATAGCCCCAAATAATAATAATAATAATAATATTAATAATAATAATAATAATAAAAATAGTAGTAGTAGTAATAGTAGTAATAATAATAATAATAATAATAATAATAATTAATAATAATAATAATTATTATAATTATTATAATAATTATTATTATCATTATTACTCATTTTTTATCTAATACAATAGAGTATTTAACACAGATATGACTAGGATTCTTAAAAAATATTTTATCATACTATCATTTTGGTTAAAATTGTGAAAATATTGACAACAAAATAATATGAAATATTTATTGGGTAAATATTTCATATTATATTTAGTCAATTCTGTAGCAGAATGATAAAGCGTTTTATGTGTATTCATAAAAAAAAAATTAATCTATTGTATGTTTTCATACTTACATTGCAAATTAAGAATTTGAGTATCTGAATAAGAGGTTTACCGTTTAAAGAATATATATAACATTTTTTAATAGATGTCTTTCATTGGTCAGTAATAAACTTGAAGATTTTCGTAGCTTATAATCAGCGATAATTATTTGTTTCTTTCATTATTTGCAACATCTGAAGATTGTGGTTTGTTTGATGATGATAATAATAATAATAATAATAACAACAACAACAACAACCACAATAATAATAATAATAATAATGATAATAATAATAATAATAATAATAATAATAATAATAATAATAACAACAACCACAATAATAATAATAATAATAATAATAATAATAATAATATGTAGGCTTTTATATATATTATATTATATCATATTAGTTTATATTCTATAGAAAGCTTTATAGGTACTGATTGAATAATTGAATAAGAATCTTTGCTCAACATAAACCACTAGTAAGAACATGCTCTGTATAAATATGTATACACATCTTTATTTATATATTTAAAATATGTACATAAACATGTACGTTTTTTTGGCATATGTATTTTTCTACCGAAAGGTCCACTGACTAATCTCAGATAAGATAGTATAATACATAC